AAGAATGGTGCATTGCAAAGTGAATTAGTGGAGTTACTAGCCAGTTGACCCTCTCAGCGATATCCACATCCTAAGCCACATCATTTTCTCTGAGGGTATGTTTACATTGCAAGCTTATTTCGGAAAAAGCCATTCTGGAAGGTATCTTCCGGAATATCTTATTTCAAAATAGAGCATTAACAGAACAGGGAAGCCTCAAAATTAGTCCGAGGCAGACTCTCCTTATGTGATTGTGCAACCTTGATTTAGCGCCTTAGAATGGCTCTAGGGAGGGGCTATTTCAACATAGCAGCAGTGGAGCGTCTACACACACCCTCTTCCTAAAGAGCTTTTTCGGAAGAGGTGTTATTCCTCAGGGAATCAGGTTTACCAATGTCAGAAAAACCCTCCGTTATTTCGATTTTCTTTTGAAATAACAGTTGTTGTGTGAATACTAGTATAGTATTCTTTTTCCAGAATGACCATTATTCCAGAAAAATGGTGAAGCATAGACGCATCCTCAATTAGCAGTTTTCCTTTTCATGTTTCATAGTCTCAACTAGGCCCTGCATTATCTTCTTGCCCTGCTTCTGCTTGACACGTTTTCCTTTTTTACCCAGGGAACGGAATGCTTCGAAATGTTCCCAGATTAGGTCTCTCTTACACCCAGGAGCCAGGACAGTTTTTTGTGGCAAAAGTGTGGGGGGAACATAGAAAGCAATTAACTCCTCTGCCCGGCTTAGCCAAGATCAGCCACCATGTAAGCACAGAACAAAACAATCTGACCAACATGTTACTAGAAAGTAAAAGCCAAGAACTCTCAAGAAACAAGAGCTGGTAGTGAAGCTGGCCACACGAGAGCCATTCATTCATGTTTTTGGGTTGTAAGTGCAGCATGTTTGTGATGAGATGTAATTGTAACTGTTGCTTTTTGAAAACACAAAATTTAGAATTTTATTGATAAATCTTAAAAAAAAAGACATTTTAAAAAAATTAAAAACTTGATTTTTAATTTTATTTAAAAAATCATTGATTTGTATCCACCCTGGAAATAATCCGAAGCAATAACACCATTTGAAATCCTGCCTTGTTGTCTTTGTCTCCCAGCGATAATGAAAGAACCACTAACACTGACTCTGTTTGTTTTGGTTAAGACTCGTCTGCCCAAGGACAAGCAAGAATGTTGAAGTGGATCAAAATTGGTCTCGGGCTCACTTTTCTCTTTGTCCTGGCCTTTGTCTATAAACGTTCCCTGTTGCCTGACCACGTCGTCTTACGTGAGCCAAGTCCTGAGCCGTTCCTGAAGGAAGAGGATGACTTGAGCATCATCTTTGTGGAGACCACAGACCACCTGCAGATTCCTCCGTTGGCTTCATGTTCTGTGGAATCTGCTGCCAGGGCCTACCCCAACAGATCCATTCGTTTCTTCATAAAAGGGTTGAAGAATAACACGTTGCAAGATTTAAATTCCAAATCCGCAGCATTTGCTCTTCTATCCAGGATGAAGAATGTCTTCCTTCTTCCTTTCCCAATGGAAACTGTTTTCCAGGAGACACCTCTGCGCCAATGGTATCACAAGGTGAGAGGAAATACTAGGGAAAATATTTTTTGGAACAAGATTCAATGAAGAAGTGGAAGGAAATGAAGGGCTTGCACAATTTATTCCAGTTTTGAAGCTGTTGTCCCAGCGTGGACCCCTTTTTCATGACACTGTGCCCTGCATTAGTCAAAATAGTGATTGAAATTGTTATGGAGATTGTCCATTTCCTGATGGCAGGAGCTATGGCAAATGGAGCATTTCCATCATAATTTCCATAATTATATTTTCTCAAAGTGGTTAATCACCATCTTTTCCAGAAAGGCAAGAAGTCGATACAAATGTTGTATTTGTAACATTTCAGTCAGCATGAATGTAAAAGGAGGATTTGCTGTTTGGGAAACTTGATTTCAGTGCTTGTTGAAGGTGTCTGACAGCCACAAAAATGTCTGGGCACAAGCTCCTCCCCCGATTTGTATGGGGATGTTGCTGGCTGCTCCCCTTTGTCAGTGAGAGGGGGAAAAATCCAGATGAACCTGGACCTGCCCCAGCGGGGGACATGTGCCCTTCCCCCGGCTGTGCCCGCAGGAGCTCCAGAGGCCATGGAGAGGTGCTTCTCACCTGGCCCCAAGCGCCTGCAGTGAGAGAGGTCTGGGGTTGTCCTCTCTCCCTGTACACTGGAGCCCTCCTCCCCGACCCCACCCCAGAGCAATCATTTAATAAAGAAAACAAAAATTAGTTGAATTAAGGCCCCAAGCAAGGCTGGGTAAATCTTCTAGTTTGTTTGTAAATGAAAGCGGGGTGTCTGAGAATAAATCAGCAGCTGGATGCACTATTGGTACACCCGCCCTCTCTCCCCACGCGTCACCCAAAGTCTGAATTTCTCTCTATTTTTATGCTCTGCAAAGATTGAAAGAATGGGTCCGTTCCAAAGCCCCTTGGAGTCGATGAGACTCTCTCAATGGATTCATATGGGCTTTGGATCAGACACTGAGTGTGTCAGTTGAGATGTGGGGGCGTTGTTTGGGAAAATAACAGTTCACAGTTAATGCTAATGAAGGGTAATAATGAGGAAGGAGAACTGCATACAACTGAGGTGGTTAGTTAGAAATGAAAAGGCACAGTGCCAAAAGTGACATCTCTGCAAGCTGCATGAGAACTTTTTAAAGTCACCAGAATAGAGGTTCGTCTTAAATGTATAACAGATATTTAAAAAAAATTAAAAATAAATACCCCCAAAGTAAGTGCCACTGTGGCTAAACAACAAAGTAAAGAAGCAGTGAGATGCAAAGAAACCCCCCAAAACCAAAAAAACCCTCTTTAAAAACGGAAGTGAAATCCAAGTGAAGACAGTAGAAAAGAACATAAACTCCAGCAAGGGAAGTGTAAAAACATATTTTTGAGACTTTGGCTTTTTTAATTAATAGTGAAAATGACATTAGAAGCAGGAAGCCAACTAACCAACCAGTGGGGCCACTGGACGATGGATGAAATGGTTGTAGGAGACAACCTTGGCTCGAGTGATCATGAGCTAATTCAGTTTAAATTAAATGGAAGGATAAACAAAAATAAATCTGAGACTAGGGTTTTTGATTTCAAAAGGGCTAACTTTAGTAAATTAAGGAAATTAGTTAGGGAAGTTGATTGAACTAAAGAAATTATGGATCTTAAAGTGGAGGAGGCCTGGAATTATTTTAAGTTAAAGTTGCAGAAGCTGTCAGAAGCCTGTATCCCTAGAAAAGGGAAAAAATTTATAGGCAGGTGTGTTAGACCAAGCTGGATGAGCAAGCATCTCAGAGAGGTGATTAAGAAAAAGCAGAAAGCATATAAGGAGTGGAAAATGGGAGGGATCAGTAAAGAAAGCTACCTTATTGAGGTTAGAGCATGTAGAGACAAAGTGAGAAAGGCTAAAAGTCAGGTAGAGTTGGACCTTGCAAAGGGAATTAAAACCAATAGTAAAAGGTTTTATAGCCATATAAATAGGAAAAAAAACAAAAAAAGAAG